AAGTATAGCACCTTGATGATAAATATAACACCTATGGGCAAGTATAGCACCCTTAAAGGTCAAAGTTATAGGCATTCTTATTGCTCTCTAAAAATTCTGCAACATCAAGTTGTCGAGAACCATTTAGTTTTTTCCCCGCAACGAAACATTCGACGATCGACGCATCGTATTTATGGCCATCATCTACCGCGTCGCGGCGGTCCTCGTGAATTTCGAGCTTCAGCCAAAGTATAGCACTTTACCGGGAAGTTATAGCACTTTTATGGCCAAAGTATAGACACTTATGACAAAGCTTATCAGCCACCTTGATGGAAAGTATAGCACCTTTGCCAAAGTATAGACCTTAATGCCTCTTGAGAAATTCTGTCAGCTTTGAAATTTAGCAGGAGCCGCCTGACGGCAGATAAGTGCCTATACTTTGGGTATAAGGTGTTATATATTTGCATGGAAGGTGCCCTATATTTTACCAATTAAGGTGCCTATCATTTTTGCATAATGTGCCTATACTTTGCGATAAGGTGCTATATTTCCCCATAAAGTGCTATACTTTGCCTGAAGTTTCGAAATAGCGAGGACCGCCCGACGCGGTAGATGATGGCAATATAATACGATCGTGTGTCGATCGTCGAATTGTTTTTCGTTGCGGGGGAAAAAAAACTAAATGCGTTCTCGACAACTTGATGTGCCCAGAATTTTTAGAGAGCTAATGGTGCTATTACTTTGAACCTTAAGTGAATACTTGATAAGGTGCTTACTTTGCCATAAGCGTGCCTTTACTTTTGGCCCCATTTAAGGTGCTTACGTTTCCCGTAATGTGCTATACTTCATGCGCTGAAGCTTCGAAATTTCAACGAGGCAGCCCGACGCGGTGGATAATCGGCCAATAAACACGATGCGTCTGGATCGGTAGTGTTTTTGAGTGTTTTAGCGTTTTTGATTGAAGGAGCACCAAATATGGTGTATTTGATCTTTGCGGTTTTAAATAAGTGATACTTTTGGTTTATAAATAAGTGGGTGTCTTTGGTTAAAAAAAGATTTTCCCTTTTAATTATCTGTCTGTAGGCTATGAAGAAACGACCAAAACTGTTGATTATTATACCTCGTCTGCACCCCCCCCCCCCCCCCCCTCCCCCCCCCCCCCTCCCCCCCCCCCCCCCCCCCCCCCCCCCCCCCCCCCCCCCCCCCCCCCGCCCACCTCCTTTCCAATGCCTCTCCTTCATCTTTTCCGTTTGCTCTGCAAATTTCACTATTTTACTCTCAATTCGCTTGGTGCGGTAGCCTCAGCTGCCCAAAACCCTAGGGTAAAGGTTTGCGACATCAAAAAGGGAACAGGAAAGAAGAAGAAGAAGAAAAGAATTTATCAAGGCTCCTTTCCCCCCCCCTCCCCCCCCCCCCACCACCCCCCTGTTGTCCTCCCCCCCCCCCCCCCCCCCCTCCTATTGAAATCAGAACAATGTGCATTCAGAATGTGATTCAATTCCTTGCCTAATATCAAATTTGGCGCTGGAATTTGATCAAAAGTTGAGCATTTAGGGGTTCTATTGTTTAACCATTGTGAAGTCGCCATTGGAATGTGATTATGTGAGTAAAATTTTCACTTTTTTAATTATTATTTCATTCATTTACTGTGATTTACCTAGTACTTTTCTGTTTAATTTTATTTTTCTGTGTTTGTATGTTGCAGAGAACTACACAGACCCTCTATTTACGTACTCTAAAGTTTGAAGTTTAGCCTAGGAGCCCTAATTAAAAATAAAAAAACGATTCCCAATGTGCAAAACTTCTATTTTATCTCTAAAATAATAAGATCAATACCTGCATCATCAAAAAAATAACAAAATTATTAATAGAATCTAACAGAGATAGGCTATATTTATGTTTTACCCAAAGAAAAAGGTGATTTTTTTCTTTCATCTTTAACTAATCAACTGAGTGCATTATAAAGTCTTCATCTGGTCCATAAACTCAAAAAGGCAACTTGATGACCCTCCACTTACAAATTGCATTTAAAAAACCTTTCTTGTTCATCTTACCATAAACAGTGATTTTCCCTCATTAGGCTAGTTTCCACATTATGTTAGAGATTTATCATGCTAAAATTCACTAAATTTTCATTTTTATTCTTTAGTTCTAGCTGATTTCAGCCAATGGAGAGTTCAGAAATTAATCAATAAAGTCAAGAATTAGCCAATGGGGAAGAAATTCCTCATACTGTCCATCATGAAAAAGCTGAAGATGATGGAGTGCCTAGAATTGGGATGAAGGTGAATAATGAGGAAGAAGCTTACAACCTATACAATGACTATGCTACACGAATTGGTTTCAACATTCGTAAAGGAGACCTTCGGAAAATACAAAAGGGGTTGTAAGACAACGCGTCTTTCTCTGCTCAAAAGTGGGATTTATATTGGATGATGAGCCTAATGGATCAACAGAAGTTAGTAGTTTGACAACAAGAACAAACTGCAAAGCAAGTATCCATTTCACCATGACAGATGGTGTATGGGAGATCACATCTTTCAATCCAGTTCACAATCACGACCTTGCTGATCCCAGCCAAAGAAAGTTTTTAAGGTCAAATAAAAGAACGCGGTTTGCGAAACCATTAAGAGCAGCATACTCACCTGTCAGCAGAGGGCTTGGTGGGCCTAATAATTTTAAGATGACATCACATGATTGTTGTAATATATTGCATGCAGATAAGTCGAATATGAGCGAAGTTGGGGATGGTCAAATTTAGGTAACTGGTGCCTACTGTGGATGTTCCAAACCTGAAATTTCTATCAAAATTTGACTACTACACTTATCTACTGAAACTTTTTCACAGAAATTGCATTTTTCATTTGTATTTTCTGCTTGTCAGAGCATTTGATGTTAATTTGTTAGACATTAGAACCCATGTAGTGTGGATCTTGTTTCACATATTTCGATTTATGTATTAAACTATAAGCCTTCTATTCTAGTATACCTTTTTTATTAAAATTGCACTTAATAAGACACAAATGTTTTTAACTTTTTCCTTGTTATTGGCTAGTTTCCTCTTTTCTTAGGAATTTTCATGCTAAAATTCTGAAGGTTTCCTTTTAATTCTCTAATGCTAGCTGGTTTTCAGCAAATGGAGAGTTCAGAAAGTAATTCTCAAATTCAGAGATCAACTGATGGGAAAGAAATTTCTCATAGTGCCAAGCATGGAGAAAATGAAGATGATGGAGTACTTAGAATCAGAATGAAGGTTTACAGTGAGGAAGAAGCCTACGACCTATACAATGACTATGTTGTACGAACTGGCTTCAGCGTTCATAAAGGAGACCTCTGGAAAAATACTAATGGAGTTGTACGACAACGTACCTACCTATGTTCAAAACCAGGGTTAAAAGGATAATGATCCTTGTAGAGCAAAAGAGGTTAATCAGTTGCGGACAAGAACTGCAAGGCAAGTATCGGTTTCACTGTGACGGATAGTATATGGGATCACGTCTTTCAATCCTGTTCACAGCCATGCCCTTGCTGAACCCAGACAAAGAAAGTATTTGAGATCAAATAGAACAATTTGGCTAGATGATGAAATTATTCGTTCAGCGGTTGATTCTCAAATAAAACCCAGTAAAGCATTCTCATCTGTAACAATGGGACTTGAAGGGCATGATAATTCTAAGATAATGATGCATGATTGCTGTAATATACCTACTACAGAAAAGTTGACCATGATCAAAGCTGAGGATGTTCAACTGGAGGTAAGTGCTCCTTGCTGTGGAAGTTCCTAAATCCAAAGTTAGTATCAATTTTTCTTTATCATTTTCATTCATTTACTGAATTTTATTATTTTTTTCCTTTTCTTACTCATGTTTCATTAAGGCACTGATGTTAATTTTTAATTTGTTATGCATTACTGTTGAGAAAGAGAATATGGTCACAAGAAAAGTGAAATGTAAGCCTGATGTAAATTGTGGTGCGCTAACTTTTATATGGGATACAATCACTTGTTCACTCTATTGGAATGACATCAACGTGCACTCTATTCCATCACCGTAGATCATCTTATGACACTCTTTTTCTGAATCTCATATGAGAAGAATACTATTTTTAATAATATTTTGTACTTTCTGATTATTTGTCATTCGAGGTGATTAACATGGGGAGTGTTTGGACACCAGTGTGTTTTTTTCTGTTTCCGTTTCTTTTTTAAAAAAAAACAATGAAACATGTTTGGGAACTGGGGTGTTTTTTTGGGCTGTCCCTTTACAAATCTCAAAATATACATGCTTTTCTCAAAACACCTTTTAGGTGTTTTGAGATCCCCGTTTAATTTCTCCCCAAACCAACGCGATCCCATTTTCTCCCCCTCAACCCTTGAAGCCGTCCCCGCCGCCACTTCGATTCGTCGCCTCGTCGTCGCCGTGCCGCCTCGCCATCGCCGCTGCCACCTCGTCGTCGACAAGTCTGAACCCAGGTTAGATCGCCGCCGCGTCTCGTGACCACGCCGTCGCCGTGTCCCCCTAGTGCTACCGCCGTCGCCGTCGATGCTTGTCCTGCTATGGAACCCATCTGTTTAGGGAATGAGGATTTTGCAGGTTGGTGCAGCCAATTTTGAGGCAAAACTCCAGCCTCATCTACTTTGGACCCTTGATCAGGTGAGGATTTTGCTTTGCCTGTTCTGTGAAGAAGCAAGGATCTAAGTTTCTTTCTCATTTGTGATAATTAATTACACTAATTGAAACCCTTCATCACGGGGGCATATGTGATATGATGGAAATTATTACAAATATGAATAAACATCTGAAATAAAATTAGAAATCCACTCTGTGCAAGGTGTCAATTACAAGTTCTTTTTTGTCAAGTTGTAGTATTACAATAGTTCTCTTAATTTTGGTTTTCCAGTGGACACCAGAACCATATGTTAGACATTTGATATTTACTCTAGAATTTTTATCTCTTGTTTGTGTCTAATGTCTATTCTTCATCCTTTTTCCATTTTGAAAACTTTTACAATGGTGTGTCTAATGTCTATTCTTCATCCTTTTTCCATTTTGAAAACTTTTACAATGGTGTTTTCAAACACTTTAGGAGAAAAAACACAACACCAGTCCTTTTTCCATTTTGAAAACTTTTACAATGGTGTTTTCAAACACTTTAGGAGAAAAAACACAACACCAGTGTGTTTTTTTGAAAAACACTACAAAAACAAACACCTTGGAAGCCAAACACGCCTATAGTTTTATATAATGGTTTGGTTATTCTTATCCACAAAAAATGATATATATGTGAAAATCATGTGTTTCCAATAATCTTGTCCCTGAATGTTTTAAATCAGTTGGCCCTAAGAAGAAAAGAAGGTAATCATGTAGGGATGATTAAGTGGTTTCCCATACTCTTTTTCCCTATGCCACCTCTCTGTCAAAGTATGCCTCTGGGGTAGCTACATTGTAATTATTTTGTGGAGAAAATAGATTAGCTTTATTTAAATATGAAAATTGTTTAGATGCTAGCGGTTTAGTTCTTTCAATGTAATGAGGCACTGAAAGATTGAAATCAGGTTAACTATTCTGTTACTTCCTTAAGGAAGAGATATCTCCAAACAGTTAAGCAGACATCTAGAGATAGAATCAGTTGCTGACAAGCCTTGACTGATGGATGCGTCAAACATTTAAAGGAGAAAGATTACAAGGTTATGTGAACTTATGATTATGGACATAAACACAAAGACATAGACTTAAAAGGGTATCAGACATGACAGTTAAAAGCACGATTATATACGTAAATTCTCCTAATCATGTGTATATTTCGTTCCCATTTCATATGTGTGTACCTCGGGTATCTTACAAAAGGTTTGCTTCCATCATCAGTCTTCAAGACAATTTTTTCCTTCCCAGCTTCAATATTGCACCTTAGTCTCGCTTCTATCTTGTGGTGTTGCAATCTCTGCACCTTCAAACCTTCCTGAGGTCTCATATCAGATAAGACTCCATTAAGGCGCACTCCAATAGGTTTAGTTGTCCTCTTATTGATAATGCCGATAGTATTTATCATGTCCAACATCACAGTGTGTTGTGGCTTTTCAAACTTCACCAAGCTTGCTTGTTCCCAATTATTCAGCTTCGTAGCACCAGATTATGCACAAAGTTGGTTCCCAACAACAGAACTGCATTGTATCGCTGCAAAAAGAGCAGCTCTTGAAATGTGGACAGAAGCAAATTGTGGCTAGAAGAAATAATTAAATGCAGACACAAGGGTGTAATGCAAAATTTGGTCCTTATATGGAATGAAGTCACACTTGCTTTATTAGAATGATCAGTGCTCAATATTCTATCACCCGAATAGTCTATTTCCCCATATCATCTTAGAGCGCTCTTTTACTGGCTCTCACACGAGAAACTTTCACAACAACTCACTTTAAACCGTGGGCCTATATTACCAAGCTTTTTATTTCTCCTAATTTGATGCTTTTGCAAGAGGTATCAACCTCCACATATACCCACTCCATGTTGGTTCTTAACCGACTATGTGCTTGTAGAATTTTCTTGGTTAACCAATATAAGCTAAGCTGATTCAGGATGCTGGTGCTATGGTAGAGATCTATAGGTTTTACCAAATCTTTTCAAAATGTAACTGGTTATCTTCAACAATTAGAGCCATTCTAACACAGATCTTGTTCCATATATGATAAATTGTGTATTAGGCTATAATGCCTTCTAGTTTTTGCCTTTCTAATTTAAATTCCAATTACAATGGTACACCTTGATATTTATAAAATTTTCTAATTAGGCCACTTTCATCCTTTTTTAGAAATTATGTATGCTAAATTTACAAAAGATTACCTTACTTACTAGCTGATTTTCAGCAAATAGAGAGTTCAGAAAACAAACAACAAAGGACTAGCCAATGGGGAAGAAATTTCTCATATCCTTCATCATGAAGAAGATGAAGATAACAGAGTACCTCAAATAGGGATGACACCGCATTGTTATAATATATTGCACACAGAAAGGTCAGTTATGATTGAAGCTGAGGATGTTCAAAGTGTGATAAACTACTTTAAGCACAAACAAGCGTCAGATCCGATGTTCTGTTACTCGGTACAAGTTAATAAGAAAGGATAACAAAAAATTTTCTGGAGAGAAGGAAGATCCAGGATAGACTATGATTGTTTTGGAGATGTGGTGATATTTGACACTACCTATCAGACAATTTGGTTTGTGTGTCCTTTGTGGGGATCAATCATCATAAGGGAAATGTTTTATTTTGGCTGTGCATTGTTGTTGGATGAGACAATACCTTCATTCATTTGGTTGTTTGAAACTTTATTAGAATCAATGGAAATCGGCAGCCAGAAACAATTTTCACTGACCAGTGGAAGCTATTGCAAATGCTACTAAGGACGTGTTTCCTACAACATGTCATTGTCTGTGTACATGGAATGTTTTAGATAATGCAACTCAAAAAAATTCCTGAACTTTATGGAAGTCTTGAACTCATGAAACAGTTTGATAAATGTTTGTACAATTGTCTCATGGAAGTGGAATTTGAGTCTACTTGGGATAAAATGATTAAGGACTTTAACATTGAAAAGAACAAATAGCTTCAAAAGCTCTATGGTCTTGGAGAGAAGTGGAATCAAGCTTTTGGTGTTGGTACATTCACTGCTAGCTTAAAATTCACCTTGAGGAAAAGCACAGATAAAGTTTTTCACCATGTGACACCCAGAACAATGGATCTCGCTCTGTTTGTTCATCAATCTGAAGATGTAGCAGAGCGATGGCGATTAATGGAGTCGCATGAAGATCTTCAGTGTAAACAATGTATGCCTAAAAGAGTATCAAAAAATAGTGAAATGCTCAAGCAAGCTGCTGGTGTCTATACTATTGAAATGTTTAGTTTATTTCAAGATGAGATGATAGAAAGCATATCAAAAGAGATGAAAGAAATTAGAAGTGATGGGGAATTATACACTCATGAGTTGACTGAGATGGGGGATGGTAGAAAGCATGTCATGAATTCTAATCCTTCTAACATTACTGTTGATTGTACTTGCCAAAAAATTTGAATCAATGGGTATATTGTGCTGTCATGCTCTAAGGGTGTTCAATCTGAGAGGGGTTAAAAAGTTACCGGATCAGTGTATTTTGAAGAGATGGACTAAATTTGCAAAGAAAGAGTTTCTTGTTCCTCATCAAGGTGAGACATCTTGCAATAGCGAAAAATCGTCTCTATCATTGGCTCATATCAAACTTATGCATAAGGTGTTTTGCATCATGGATAAAAGTTTGAGGACTTCTGGAGGTCCTGAGAGAGCTGACGCTCTCCTAGATCAAACTATAGAGGAAGTTGTAAGACGAATTTTAAATCCAGATGCTGGAGAAAATGTCAACTAAAAAAGAAATATATTTACTCCTAACAATGGAAGTGATGATGCAAGTAATAGTCACAGCTCAATTGATGGATCACCGGCAAATGCTAGCGTGAAATTGTGGACGGAGAAGAAAAAAAAAGTTGAAGCTATCTAGTTCAATATTCCATCAGGTAGTAAGAAATTTCCCTGTATTTATTCCTCTTATTTCTGTTTAAGAAATTTTTGTTTTATAGAAGTGCTAATTAGTTTTTCAGAGAAAGGAAAGAAAGAGGCAACCAGAGTTTCCTCAGATATATATATTTCGACCCACCACAAGGTCCTAGTTCTATGGATATCAATGCACGCTCAAAAGGTTGAAATTCATTCCGGTGGTTTCTAATATTTAGACATATTATCTATTTTGTACAAGTAGTTATCGCATAATTTATTACTGCAGAGATAATAAATGATGGTGAGTCACTCCAGAATCCTTTCGTTTTGTTTCCCACCTGAAGGCCCCATCTTAAGCTCATCTTCTCTCCTTTTTGTGTGTGTGTGTGTGTGTTTTGTTTTGTTCTGTTTGGAGTAACACCTTAAGCTCATCATTTAAACTCTGTTACGAAATGTTAACCAAATTCATTCAAGTATTTTCTAATATATCGACATTATATCATATTTTGTAAATGAGTTATGTAATTAAGTTAATACAGCAGAGAAATAGATGACAAAAACACCTGCACATCCTCTGATCTTGTTTCCCACTACGAAGCCCTACATTAAGTCATCACTTAAACATCTATTAATGAATGTGAATCCAAATTCAAGGAGCTCGAAAGCCTATCCTCTAGGTAGTCAGTTTTTTTTAATTACTAGGTGGAATGCACGTGCACTGCACGTGATCAAATATCATAATTATTTTTCAGGTTTATTTATTTACTATAATATGGTTGCAAAAAACTTTATAAATAGCATAATATATTAATTTTTTTGGATATTTCCATGTGTGGTTTTAACATTTTTGTCTTCCAAAAAAATAGTGATGTTTAAAACCTTAAAATATTAACGATTTAAGATTAATTACTAATTTGAACGTATAATTTTAAAATATTAATGATGTAAGGGACCAATACGGAAAAAACCTATAATTATTAATAAAAAAATAAATTCTTGAATTCATCAAAGAAAAATGGTAGGCTTTATCTAGTTAGTAAGGATTTTGTTCGGTTATGAAAAAATCACTTCCACCTATTGTTTATCAGGCGACCGAGTATTATAGATATTCAAGAACTTTTTTCTAGAATTCTCTAAGTTATAATGTGCAAATTCAATCAAGAAAGAAAATATAAATTATATGATCAATTTTAAAATCTATTGTTGTACTCTTTTTACATCTTTCCAACTACTAATTGATCTATCAAAATGATTACTCTCTAGTTTTAGAAAATTATAAATATAGTCTGAGAAAATTTATACATATTATGCACTCATATTGATTGTATTTTAACAAAATAATTCATATCTATCCAATGTCAAACAAAATCAAAAAAAATTAATAATTTAATATTAGTCTCTAAATTATGAGCAATTTAAAACACTTCCGGGAATAACATAAAATCATTGTATATTTAAAATCTAGGAACTAACCTTTACATATTTGCTCTTATAGGTATCCTATGAAATATTTGCCGATATATTGCTATATCGGCCAATATATCGGGTTAAAGATTTTATCTCGGTAATATTTCCTATTGTTTTTTTTATATGGTGATTTTTTTGATATATCGAGCGTTATCGAAAATATAGCCAATATATCTATTTGAAGATATTGAGAAAATCATGTCATTTTTAATTTGATTGTGGACTCGAGTTTGGATCGTGTTTGGGAAATAAAATTGGAACCTACAAAACCCACAAAGGCCACAATTCTTCTTCAAATTTCTCCACTCTCGGCTCTCCCAAATCTTAAGCATATTTCTTGATGCAAATTATTATATTTAAATTTCATTAATATGTTAGATTACATATTACAATGTCATGTTATGTATGAATATTATCTCATATGACACCCAATATTACATAGACATCCCTGAATTTTACAATCTGATATCATGAATTTTATTTGTTTAATATTTATCTGATGTCCAACCCTTTGTAGTAGCCCTTCAGAAGCCTCTTCTAAAGTTTTTTAAGCGAAGTATATAATTTTAGGAAATAATTCAAAATCTTGAGACTCATTCAAAATATGATGCTTCAAATTTTCAGCATCTCATCTACTATATAAATATAAGCTAACTATTTGGCCTCATATTGTATGATGAATATTATTTATCAATGGGTTCATATATTATTGTTTATGGATAACAAAGGTTTTAAATCTTTTATAGGCTTAATTGAACTTAAATCTTTTATAATTTACAACAATTATATTTATATACCTCCACTTGTATCTTGTTGCACATTTTTTAAATTTTAGATAACATATCTAGCTTGCTGCACTTAAATATCTTAAAGTTTTCCAAAATATAATGTTTTTACATTCTGTCCTCTTACATAAACATAAGAATGCTCTTTGTAATTTTTCTATATGAGTTTCATGGTATAATTTTAGGACAATTCTATGTTTTCTACTCTTTCCATAAATACTTTATTAACATGCAATTATCTATTAATATATTATTTTACATTACTAATAATTGATATGATGTAGAGTTTTACAATAGCGTCGGAAGTTTTAGGGACCAAATTATACAAACTTAAAGTGACTATAATGTAATTAATTAACAATGATAATTAATTTAGTTTAGTTAGTATTAGAATGTAATATCAACAAAGATTAATTAACAATGATAATTAATTTAGTTTAGTTAGTATTAGAATGTAATATCAACAAAGAATAGGGGTAGTATAGTCCTTGAAAAATGTAATATCAACAAAGAATAGGGGTAGTATAGTCCTTGAAAAGTTTTTCCACAACTCCCTCTTTTAAAGTGAGTATGATATGATATGATATGATATGATATTTTGTTGAACATACAACCTTTTTAAGTAAAACTTCATCATTTCTCAAAAGGTTACTGCTTATGTCATCAATCCTTAATGAATATGGATTCAAACTTGCGATATAAGAATCCATCTAATAAATCTTTTCTTTTTTATTTATTACATTCCATGTTAAACCACATCGATGCAATAACGAAAGGAATGAGAGAAATGTAAGCTATTCTAGTAATTCCTTTCATGTTGTATCAAGTACAGTTGTTTTCATACCCTCAGAGCAACCTTTTCCAATTTACAATAAGGGTGCAAAATTGCATGTTGGCCTTGAAGCAGTTGGCTACATATTGGCCTTGAAGAGGTTTGTAGATGGAAGAATGTGCATGAGGAGAACCTGACATATAGCTAGAAGCATCCTGAGAATGCATTAAAAGACGCATGGAATTCCATTTTCTTTAAAAAAATTATTAGGAACTGTTAGTCTTATACCTTTGCATTGTTCAGATTGGATAGTACATTAAACTACAAATTTTAGTTTTTGTTATAAGAGAATATGGAGCAAATGGTGTTCTTTCTTGGCTCAAATTTGAACCCTACCCATTCATACAATGCTGTTTCTAACCCCTATTTTTCTTATTCTTCATGAGTTGTGAAATTTCTGATCTAATGTTAACATCTGGATCCAGTTTCCAGCAAGAAAATCATTACGTAAAAGGGTCTAGAGTAGATTGTTAAGACCAGTCAAATCTCTGCAATTTGTAGATTCACGTATGAAAAGGTATAAGTAACGCTAGTTGACTAGAGAAATCTGGTATTCTTCTCAAAATTCTGAATTTCCTGACGAAGTATAGAAGTCACGCAATATAAGGGTCTCCTTTAATATCTTTCCATATGGAAAACAACGTGATTACAATAAGAAATTTCTTGTATCCCAAATCATCCTTCCACTTGCCAAGAGATTATGCGTTGAGTCCTTTGTCTGCAGGCCAACACTCTAATATCATGAGCATAGAACAAAAACTGCTCATAGATCATCCATTTAGAATATATAAGAAACCTTTTATAATTCTTCTTCTTGACAATATAAAAGAAACTAGCCCATATATGTTAGTCAACCAAATAGATTGCCGGCTAATATTCTCAATATGTATAGTCACCTAACTGCCAAATTGCAGCCTATCCCATATCATGGTCTTGCATTTTATTTTATTTTTCTCATGCTACTGACAGTACATTTTTGTTCAAATCTAAGTGAACAAATCAGAAATAGACACTCTCTTAGCCTATAAATATCTCAAACCCCACATCGATTCTTAATCAAAAAAAGATGAAGAACGAATTTCATCTTTTCTCCTTTTTTATAATCTTTGCCTTTGCAATCTCACCCTCATCATCCTCCCAGCCTCAAATCAATGTATGGCCTAAACCTGTCAAGATTTCATGGCCAACTTCAATATCCGTGCTCATCTCCCCTTCTTTCAAAATAATCTCCCCTTACCAAAATCCATATCTCCAAATCGCGGTTAATCGTTACACAAACTTCTTACTTGAAGAACGCCATGAATTTATCAGAGATTACAACACAAACTACACATTCTCGTACCCATCGGTCAAATCCCTCTCTCTCAGCATCCGGGACGATAAAAGTCCTCTTCAGCATGGAGTCGATGAAACCTATTCATTGAGAATCAATACTAATGGTACTGCATATTTACAGGCTGAAACAGTATGGGGAGCAATGCATGGACTAGAGACATTCTCACAGCTAGTCTATGTTATAGACAATGAACTTATGGTTCCTGCCGATATTTATATTGAAGATGGTCCTATATTTCCTCATCGGGGCGTGTTGCTTGATACTGGGAGGAATTACTTTGCGCCAAGGGATATTATGAGGCTTATAAGAGCGATGAGCTATAATAAGCTTAATGTGTTTCATTGGCACGTCACTGATTCTCACTCTTTTCCTATTGTGTTGCCTTCAGAGCCTGAACTTGCAAATAAAGGGTCTTATGGATCAAAGATGCAGTACTCTCCTGCTGTTGTCAGAGCGATTGTTGAGTATGGTATGAGCCATGGGGTTCGTGTCATGCCAGAAATCGATACTCCCGGTTAGTTACATCAACATTTACGAATCATTTAGCTTAGTGAATCAAGATTTTGATCAAAACCTTGCATTTGCAAATTCAAATTTTGAATATTTCTCTTTAGATAATTTCAGTCTACCTGGAGTGAGTTTAAACATAAATATTCTTGTAGAAAGCAGCTCTGATATGTTGTTTCCTTTTAAGTAAATGAAGAAGAAAACTGGCATGCTGAAGTTTCTGATAAATCTACAGGGCATTCGAGGATTTAGATACATCAACCTAGCAAGCAAACACTTAGTTTTATCACATTTAAACTATCTTAAAGAATCTAAATAGAATAAATTGAAGAAATATTTGACAAGACCTTCAACACTATTTGAAGTCATATGCAAGTTTTTATTGGCTACTACAAATCATTTTCAAGGGTTCATTTTAAAGATAAATGTAATAGAGAGTCATGTTCAAAAAAATTCACTTATCTGTGCCTGGTCCGAAGATGATAGTACTCAGCATAACGAATTTCACTTGGACAAACTTATCTGCAAATCGATGCAGACAGGAGTTTTGGTGCCTTACTAGTGTTATCTCTGAAATCATAAAAATTGCTTGTTCAGTGATTTCCCTAAAAGCTTATAATTGACCAATCTAAATGAATCTGCAGCACATACAGGATCATGGGCCGGAGCTTACCCTGACATCATAACATGTGAAGACACGTTCTGGTTACCCTCAGGATCAGATTGGGTTGATCGTCTCGCTGCAGAACCTGGAACTGGCCAATTGAACCCCCTCAACCCTCAAACCTACGAAGTCGTCAACAACATGATCAAAGATACCGTCTCCCTTTTCCCCGAAAACTTCTTCCACGCTGGAGCCGATGAAGTCACCCCTGCTTGCTGGAAAACTGATCCGTCCATCCAAAAATTCCTCTCAAACAACAGCACTCTAAATGAAATCCTAGAGCTATACATAAACAGAACATATCCTTATATCCGTTCGCACAATCGAACAGTTGTGTACTGGGAGGATGTATTGCTTGATTCTGCTATTCATGTTGATGAATCCACTCTCCCAAAAGAGACTACAATCCTGCAGTCATGGAACAATGGATCTAACAACACGAAAAGGATCGTGTCAGCTGGGTATCGAGCCATTGTATCGTCTGCAGACTTCTACTACCTGGATTGTGGCCATGGAGCTTTCATGGGCAACGACAGTCGTTACGATAAGCAGTTGGGTGATGATGAAGGGGTGCCGTTTAACTACAAAGGAGGCAGTGGTGGATCATGGTGTGGCCCGTTTAAGACCTGGCAGAGGATTTATAGCTATGATATTACTCATGGATTGCGTGAAGAGGAGGCTAAGTTGGTTATCGGTGGTGAGGTGGCGCTGTGGGCGGAGCAGGCAGACCCCACGGTCATGGACGCGATGATTTGGCCTAGGGCGTCAGCGATGGCAGAGGTGCTGTGGTCGGGGAACAGGGATGAGAATGGTAATAAGAGGTTTGCTGAGGCAATTGACAGGTTGAACGAGTGGAGGTACAGGATGGTCGGTAGAGCGATTGGGGCTGAGCCCCTTCAGCCTTTGTGGTGCGTGCGTAATCCTGGAATGTGCAACTTCGTTCAGTGATTGAGGTTCAAACGCTTTGAACTTTTGAGGGTTATTTGAGATCCGAGCGTGGTGAGAGCATTGTGCTTTGGATTTGTTTAAGTTAGTTTGTTTTAGCCAAGTTTTGGCAAAGACTGTTTGATCTGGTTCTGTCATGTGTTTATCGTTAGATTCTCGAGGAATTATGATGAAATGAGATATGATCTTATAATCTCGGAGATAATGTTGAACACAGTGTTACAACTTTTCTTCATGGCCACTGTCCCAAGTAATGGAAGTTAGTCCCCTCTAATAAAATTATAAATTTGCCAAATTGACATGTGTCTAAACATTGAACATATTCCGAATTTTTTGTTGAGGAACAGTCAAGGTAAGTGTTTCAAAAACATGCAAATACTCGTGCTATCAGGGGGATGCAAACGTGTGCTACGGGGACCCAGAATATGGGACCAATAAGAGGGACAAGTGAAGTGTCCCCCTCCTATTGGATAATGAGTTGGCCATCATTAATGATGGCCAACTCATTATCCAATAGGAGGGTGACATATCACTTGTCTTTTCTATTGGTCCCATATTTTGGGTCCTTGAGGAATTTTTCCTCTTACCGTATAAGCACGGAGTTATTGCTGAGAGCTCCAGCTAACGTAACGTTATGTTCAGCACAAATCAATCGTCTCTTTGCATTATTTCTCCCCTTTTCTTTTCTTGGGATTTACTTTCGTAGCCCACAACTGTGAAAACAACTTTTCGACAGATAACAACAGCTGCAGCAGCCTTGGCAGCTCTCCACGCTTCGAACACATCAAAAACCCCCAACTGGCACGCTCTCCAACCTCAGGATCCGCTCACAGATACCTCCAATCATAACAATCCCAAATCCCCAATAACTCCTTCCCCAAAACCCTTAAGTATCTCCCAAAATCCCACAGCTCACGATCACATAATAAAATGGCCAATTTCTGCTCCCTCGCCCTCCTCTCCCTTCTCCTGTTGCGTTCTCCAGCGCCGTCGAATCCCCAAGCGCTTCCGATCAGCGTG